TTAGCGTTCCGACAGATGTAAGTCAAAGGTCACGCGGACCTTCTTGTAATTCTTGGTGCCAGAGGCAAAAAAGGAATTTTGGCCTCACTTGTCCTTGTGTAGGTTTGCGCTCAAATAGCTCAGCTTCGTGTGGGTGGCCCTCACCAAGTTTTCGAGCTCCGCTTCGGATCATGCAGGGGCGACTAGAGACTGAATAGCATCACTGGGCGGCTGTTGATAGTGCAATTGCCAAAGCCACTGAAGAGCCCATTGTATGTTTGCCACCTCAATTGTGCCGATCAAAGTCATGCATAAATTACTCTTCACACCAGCATTATGTACTGACTCCCTAAGTTGTGTAGTATGAAACTTTTAATGCTCTCCAGGTGACCTCCTTCAGCCCGATTGTGATTGGCTAATTTGTGGCCAACACGTGTCTTCGCCTCCAATCAGAGGACAATCAGAGGCTACGCCAATCAAAATTGACGACAGCCTGTAGGATGGACAGCTGACTTGACAGCTGTCTACGACGGCCAGATGCGACGAACACGGACACACACATGAACAGGCTACTCACACATACACACCCGAGCCCGAATACACACAGGCAGCAATGTGTTCTCGCGTAAGCGCATCAAAAGCAATTCTTAGGCAGCACTGCATATATGGGTCTCTATTAGAAGTATGACCAAGCTGGCATACACACACATACACATACATGCACACGCACTCACATATAGGCATGCTAACACAGCAGTGCACATAAGCAGGCGCCCACATAGACATATTCGCAAGCGTCTGGGTGTATCTGACCCAGTATTCATGCACATACGTTTGGAAAGAGCAGGAAATAGCTTGGTCTGATGGGGCTCGAAGCCACATCGGCTCCACCCATATCCAAGAAAGTTCTGATATCATTATTATTCCTGTTTATCACGTCGTGGCAACAGAGCAGAGCGCCCTGACTTTTTATTGTTGTTGCCCTGTGAACCATCTTCGTGTCGATGTACTGCACACCACCTTCGGGCCCAGTGTCCCAGCATGTGGCGGCCTAGCGAGTGCAGCAATGGGATCGGCCTAAACGACTTGTGATTAACTTACGACTAGGATCTACCCTCGTTTTAGCACGGATACCTGCCATTCTCCTGACCCATCCGCCACACGGAACTCGCCCGCTTCACACGGTCAGTCGGCGAGAAGTTGAGCTGCCGCCTCGGGCAGCAAGAGTCCGCCGGAGCCCACGGTCGAGGAAGTCGAGCAGGTGAGTGGGCTAAAGTCGAAACACACTCAGAGGCCAATGTGAGGCTGGAACCCAGCCCATCAGACCTTGAAGCAGATCCACAACTTCTTGCTTTTCACGCATCTTTTTCAATTCACAATCACAAATCCAATCGTGTTGGGGCTGTAATGATGAGAGCTTTCAAAAGTCCTTGATCCACCATCAGTTGGGCAAGAGAATGGTCATGATGGTCACTTTAGATTGAGAAAATCTACTTCATATTTTCAAATTAAATATCACAGACCGATTCGTATTTAAACTGTACACACTTCAAGTGAGTTCGCCGACTCTTAAGAAGTGGTTTGAATTCATTTTCAAAATTTTGCACTGTTGTCAAGGCGACCTAGATGAACTAACCTTGTTCAAGGTCTTCGGCCATGATAATTTCCAGCATCGGATCGTGGACTTGATGCATTCGCAGGCTTTTCGCTGGCATCGTGATAAGTAGCATCAATGAGTCTTGTCATTCTTAGCACCAAGTCGCAACAGATCAAATAGTCAAGTTAAATATAATATTTGTGTTATCATTCCTCCTTTCGTTCTGGTACCGTTCGGCAGAAGGGATAATCATTGGTGATACCGACCTGGATGACGGCAAAACGTCTGGCAATGTATCAAGTCCACGGCCCAACTCTGGAAATTATCATGCTTACCGTCTTCAGACAATGTACATCCATCGAGGTCGCCCTGACAACGCGACCAAGTTGTGAAAACGAGATAAAATAACTGTTTTGCTGTGATAGGAGAATGCGAACAAAATTGAGGCCACATCATCTTGGTTTTCATTTCGATAGTTGTCAACCTTTTTTCCGCTATCTCTGCTCCAAGGGCAATATATCCCACGACTCGGGTAGAAACGCCAGTCAACCGAGACGACTAAAGATGGAGAAACCCTTAACGGCTAAATGCACCACCAGATTCCGAGGTTTAGATAGTTCCGATTCGCGTATGAATACGATTTGTTTATCATATTCATCTTCTGTGTCAATGATGCTATGGCGTGATCTTCTCTTGCTCGTCTAAGTCCCCAAATCCCAGAGTAAAAACATGGATGGAGTGAAGATCCCCCTTGCTCACTTATCTCTAGCCGGTACCATCACAATCTCCTAAGTATTACTTAAATTCATATCTACCTCCAAATGTTCCCTCTGCTTTTTGTGCATAGCCATGCTACATGCGTGGAAAGGCTAAACGCGGGCTCACGAAGGAGCCTACAGTCTTGGCAACCCGAGACTTACGGAGAGTGTTGGGTAAAATGGGGTGGAGGCTTCAAATTGCCGATACATTTTAGCCTCCATTGACTTCGGCAGTAAGGACTTCATTCAGTTTATGTCCAGATTTCGGCTACGTGTGCTGTGGTGTTCAATAAGACTGCGGTAGACGATTTAAAGTGAACGTTGATGGGTTTGGCCTGGAAGCACTGTGGCAATGATATCCTCAACAGCATAGGCCATCAATGCAAATGAATGTGGACCCAGATATATCCTTCCTTGAAAATTCACATTTGCCCTGTGACCCAAAAGGAGCTCGTGACAGTCTAGCCGAGTAGTTAGCGTGTCAAGCTCCCATCCTGCACTGTCGCGGTTCGACTCCCGCTGAGGGT